ATTCCTGGTACCAAAAAAAAAAAAAAAGGCTTGGGCCGGGGATTTAGCTCAGTGGTTCCGGCACCTGCCTCGAAAGCACAAGGTCCCGAGTTCGATCCCTGGTACCAAAGAAAAAAAAACAACACATACAAAAAAAGTCTTCAGTGTAGCTGAATGATAGAGTGCCCATAGTCTATCCCCAATAGTGTTAAAAAAAAAAATTTGGATGTTCTTATAATCATAGAAACTTTCAGAACTTTTATTGGCCAACAGTCAGACTGCTTCTGTGAATTCTTAAGTTAGAAGCCAGGCGACGGGGGCTGGGGCTGTTGCTCAGTGGCAGAGTACATGCTCAGCAGGCAAGGAGTCCTGGGATGGTTAAATGATGTGGTCAGGTTCTTGAGCATTTGTCTGCCCAGTTGTCATTATTTTAATTTAAATTTTTCTCTTTTTAAAAAATAATTAGCTAAAGTTCGTGGTTAAGAAAGGAAATCAAATTGAAAATTTGTATATAGGTGAGTCTGGATTTCATTGGAGCCTTTCTACTTCTTCCATGTTCTCTTCAGTTGGTTGGGCTGGTGTAGTCAGTACAAACCACCTCTTACAAGAAAAGCTCACCACCAAGCTGTGGAGGAACCATTCCCCTGCCTTTCCTCTTGTAAAAAATGTTATTAAGGGGCTGAGGACTTAGCTCAGTGGTTCCGGCACCTGCCTTGCAAGCTCAAGGTCCCGAGTTTGATCCCCAGTACCAAAAACAAAAACAACAAAAATGTTATTAAGGCACCAACAGGTTGGAGATCACACAGGTGAAGAGGATTTTTGTAAAAGGGAATGGTGAGGGAATGGCTAGAATTGAAGCAGATTGAGGAGCAAGAAGCTCTTGCTGTAGATGTCACATGATGAATGATGTCCTTTCATCCCCTGTGCTGTGGAGTTAGGCCACTTTATTTAATTTTTTTTTTTTTTAGTGCACATTTGTAATACAGAATAGTGATGTTCTTTAAGGGGAACTAGTATATGTGTATAATATATCTTGAACATTTTCAATCCCTTAATGAGTTGTGCCATTTAATGCCACACCTTGCCCCTTTTTGGAGCTGAGAACCTTCAGTTCAAGGCTGTCAGTTGTTTATTCTGATCAATTACTCATCAAGGGCAGCTTATATGCACTAAGCCAAAAGAGGGAAAAATCCAGGCTGGGGTGCAGCTCAGTGGTAGAGCACTTGCCTAGTGTGCATGAGGCCCAGGTTCCATTCCAGCACTGAAGGAAAAAAATCTTTGGGTGGAAAATAATTTTCTTGGGTGATTCTGTGAAGTTGGAAACACCTAATTGAAGCTGAATTTTCTTTCCCCAGAATTAACCTTGCCTCAGTTCTACAGCTTCCTGCACGAGATGGAGCGAGTCAGAGCCAGCATGGAGTGCTTTGGCTGATTGCTACTGTCCACTGCAGTTCCCCAGCCCCTGCGCTAGGAACTGCTCCCAGAGGCACCTCCTGCAGGCCCTTGGGCACTCCTTGCAGTTATTTGGCTTCTTGGGAGCCCAGGTGCAAAAGGTTTCTGAAAAACAACAGGATTAGGTACTTAACAAGCCCTGCACAACTTCCCTGTAAACTCCTTGTCCAGAGAACCACCACCACCTATCTCTCTGGAGAAGTTTTGGATTTTCCAACAGTCTATTGCGTCTCAGATTCACTGGTGAAAATAAAAGTTCCAAAGTAAACAAATGGTCCCATGATGGAAAATGACACATTGATCACCTACCTCTTCCCTCCCAAACGCAGAGCCAGTTTATGGGTGAGGGAGAGGCAGAGTGTAGATGAGGTATGTGGGCTCCATCCATTTCTTTATGTCCTGCATTTGCAGTGGTGGTGCCTTGCCAGTCAGGTATTACTGAGGCCCCTGTGTACAGACCTGTTTGGACTTCTCTGGAAAGAACTCTGTCCACTCTTTTGGTTTTGGCCTGTTGCATTGTAGTGAGGCAGGCCGTTGTTCTTATCTTGTTTTGGTTCCAGCTGACCACCTTTGTTGGTTAGATGATGAATAAAAAAGGTTCTAAAGATATAGAAACCCAGCACTCCAGACGATGAGGCAGCAGGATCACAAGTTTGAGTCCAAACTGGGCAACTTAGTGAGACCTTCTCAAAAAAGCGGGGGTGGGGGTGGGGGGCTGGCTGGTGATGTAGCTCAGTGAAAAGGCCCTGGTTCATTCAGATGGTAATGGGCCTGGTGTGGTGGCATTAATCCTGTAATCCAAGCTACTCTGGAGGCTGAGGCAAGAGGATCCCAAGTTTGAGCCCAGCCTGGGCAATTTAGCAAGATCTCATCTCAAAATGGGCTAAACATGTAGCTCAGTGATAGAGCATCCCTGGGTTCAGTCCCCAATCTCTCTCTCTCTCTCTCTGTCTCTCTCTCTCTCTCTGTCTCTCTCTCTCTCTCTCTCTGTCTCTCTCTCTCTCTCACACACACACACACACACACATGTGCACAGACGAGAAGATAAACCAGAAATACCTGTCTTTTTTTCCCTGGAGGAGGAAAAAAGTCCTGGCTGGGGTAGGAATGCCAGGAGGGTGTGTGTGTGTGTGTGTGTGTGTATGTATTCACCTTTCAGTTTTGATTTTTTTTTTTAAATGGCTGTGACAAGGAGAATCCCCAACAGCCCCAATGCCCAGCTGCTCCCCAGTGTGGCAGGCCACCTCACACACAGCATCTGCTGGAGTGGAGGAAGCCTTTCTGAGTGCTCACTGGCTGAGGTGTAGCTCAGGGGTAGAGTGCAAGCCTAGCAAGTGTGAGACCCTGGGTTAAAACCCAGCACCTTAAAAAGAAAAGAAAAAAAAGATAGCTGGGTGCAGCGTCGCACACCAGCAAACTCATTGCTCTGGGAGCCTGTGGCAGGAGGATGGCAAGTTTGAGCCCAGCCTGGGCAATTTAGCAACTAAGTGTGACCTTCTCTAAAAATAAAAATTTAAAAAGAGCTGGCATGTAGCTTAGTACAAAGCCCATGGTATGATTCCTGGTACAGCAAAAGATAATGATGATGATTAATAATAGTAATACTTTCCTAAAAGATATTTGGTCTTTTCTGGATTTTTTTTAGTTTTTTGAGACAGGGTCTCACTACAGTAGTTCAGACTGGCCTCGAACTCACAGTGATCCTCCTTCCTCAGCCTCCTGAGTGTTGGAATTACAAGAATGCACCACCACACCCAACTCAGGATTGTATTTTTTTTTTTAACCTTTGTCTTGCTTTACAAAGGCATTTCAGAATTTCTGTGAAAAGTACAATAGATAATCTTGGTGTATCTTGTATTTGGATGACTGTGTTGCCCAGGTTTGCCTTCACCTCATGATCTTCCTGTCTCAGCCTCTCAAGTAGCTGGGATGACAGGTCCCCAGCACTGAATTTACCTTTTTTGTGTGAGTGTACAGTTCAAATGAGAGTTTTTGGCTTTTTGAGTTTTGGGTTTTGTGTGTGTACATATGTGTGTGTGAGTGAGGATTGAACCCAGGACCTTCACAATGAATTACATCCCTGGTTTTTTACTATATTTTTAAATTTTTAAATTTTATTATTGTTATTTTCTTTTAAATTTGAGATAGTCACGGGTTGGGGATTTAGCTCGTGGTTCCACTACCTGCCTCAAAAGCGCAAGGTCCCAAGTTCGATCCCTGGTACCAAAAAAAACCCAAAAACCCATAAATTTGAGACAGTCTAAGTCACTGTGATCCTTCTGCCTCAGCCTCCCAGAGTGCTGGTATTACAGCTGTCCACCACTGTGCTGGCATTTTTTTTTTTTTTTGAGACAAGGTCTAACTAAATTGTCCACACTGTCTTCAAATTAAGGATTCCTTGTCTCAGCCTCCTGAATTCCTAGGATTACAGGTATGCATCCCCATGTCTGGCTTCTGTTTCACATCTTTTTTTTTTTTTTCTTTTTGAGGCAGGGTCTCACTGTAGTTCAGATGGCCTTGAACTCACTGTGTAGCCTGGGCTGGCCTCCAGCTCACAGCGATCCTCCTGCCTCAGCCTCCCCAGTGCTGGGATTACAGGTGTGCATCACCACACCCAACCTCACAATTTAACTTTCCATGAGATTTGTTATTTTTTGATGTATGAACAGTAGCCTTTTATCTCCTCCTTTTATTATTATTATTATTATTTTTTTTTTGGTTTCTTTTGGGGGGGTACTGGGGATTGAACTCGGGACCTTTCGCTTGTGAGGCAGGCGACGGAACCACTAATTTAAATCCCCGGCTAGTTATGATCCATCACTTTAGTCGCTAAGAACTTAATGCTGAGAACATCTACTATTTTTGTTAAAAGATTTTTTAGCCAAACCAATTGAACTTTAGTCCCACTGATGCCCTAAAAAATTGTTTCCAGATGCTTTGTCCCCTCGCCATCTCTGTCCATTGCTGCTCTTGCATCTGACTCTGTGCATCTGAAGGGTGCATTTGATTCAGAAAAGCTGTAGTCATACCACTACTTTCATGACATCAAACTGAATGGGTGGGGGGATCTTGTCCTTTTCCTCGAAGTTTCTGTCTCCTCACTGACTGCTTCCTAATAACATGGTAGAATGAGGCACACCTCACCCTCTGTCTGTGGATGACCGGCTGGGGGAGAATGGTCACCATGCACTATGTACCATCTCCTGGGCCAAGCACTGTGTGACCTGAAGGTCTGCTTCACCTCTACATCTTTGTTAGGAGCAACAGTGTCTCCCTCCCAGGGTGACTGAGGAGCCGGTGAGGTGGTTTCTCTGGGCACTAAATGCCTGCTTCACCACCTCTGTCACCATTTTGGCTTATTAGAACTAAGCAACCACAGATAGCTTACCCACCACCACTGCTGCGAGTTTCACCCAGGACTAAGGGAATGGCTGGACCCCCAAGGCTCAGCATGTGGTCCCTTGACCAACAGCATCGGCAGCTTGCTGGGAACTTGCTAGCAGTGCAAATTCTTAGACCCCACTCTAGAGCTACCAAGTCCTGAATTGGGAACTCTGTGGGATCCAGTGACTTGTGTGTGTTTGTGTGTGTGTGTGTGTTACTGGGGAGTGAATCCAGGGGTACCTTACCACTGAGCCACATCCTCAGCCCTGTATATTTATTTATCTACTTTTTTTTTTCTTGACACAGGATCTTGCTGTATAGTCCAGGCTGGCTTTGGACTTGTGATCCTCCTGCCTCAGCCTCCCAAGTAGCTGGGACTACAGGCATGTGCCACCATGCCCAGCCCAGTGACTTCTTTTTACCAGCCCTTGGAGGATAGTTTCTGATGCATGTTCCAATTTGAGAATCACTGAGCTCCATCATGCCCTGCCTTTGAGAGACCCCTAAATGTGTCCTTAATAAACAGAATCTGACCAGCCATGTAGGAACCCTGTCAGGACTCTGTCTTCAGCAGAGGTGCTTGTGGGTGGGTTGTGGACATCAACATCAACGTAAGCTAGGGCTGTTCCCTAAAGCCCCGTGGCTCCCCAGGTAGATCACAAGGAACACCTTATCAGTTGCCTCTGACTTTAGTGGAGAGTTCCCTTGGATTCTAGGGGTCTTCCAGTCTTCCATCTTGGTGTTTGAAGTGGGGGAATGTTTGAGATTTAATGAAGTGCTGTGCATCAGAGGGGAGGAAGGGAAGACAGGTTCTCCCCTTCATACCTGGCAAATTCACTTCAGTCAGAGGCTCTTTGAACACAGGGATCCTTACAGTTGTGAGATCTTTTCTGTAGGTTTTAATTGGGGAAGCAGTGTACCCTCTAATTGTGTACACAGGATGGTGCCAGGGTGATGGGGAGTCGAGGAAACCTGGCCTTTTATCCTCTGGGAGGTTGAAATCAAGTTTAAGAAACTCAGGCAACACACAGGATATCACGAATCCACATGGACGTCTGTGGGAAGTGCAGAAGAATGATGGGTTTGGCACCCAGTGGGGGCCTCGCTGTGAGCCTGGGATCCCATAGACGGGGTCAGAGGTGGGAGTGGTCTGCTTTGCCTGGACAGGCCCCGCCCAGGGTCTGGGGCCACAGGATGTGTGTCAGGACTCACTGTCCCTTTGAGTCTACAGGGAGATCAAGAAGGTGCCTCTGGCCTGTGTGAGGAGGTCGTTTTACCTACTGTTGACTAAATAAAAACTTAGCCAGGCTTATGGAACAAGGCTGCTTTCACATCAAAGGGCTCTTACAAAACAGCTTGGTGATGAGTTAAGTACAAATGAATCAGAAACAGATGGACTCAATTTCCTAGGAAATACCCCTGGGCTTCAGCAAGAGAG